TAGGGAAAAAAATGCTTAAAAAGGCTGCATTGCTCTTCTGCCTCCAGACTTGGACACAAAAGAACATGCCTAAAAAGAAATAGCCTTCATTTGCCATACCTTTGTTACATCTACTTGGTCAGACCAGTCAATATTGATGCTCTCCAAGCAGTTATTGGCTGCATAGTGTTTCATCCTCCTGGAAACATTGTAGTAACAGTAAAACATGACTGCTAGGGGTACAACAAAATTAACAGCAATTACACTCATTGTGTAGGAAACAAAGGACCTGGTAAGACAAAAAAAACACAAACACCACAGTAAATTACAACTATCCAACCACAAAAAGTTATTACAAAATTCAATACTTTGATTTGATTATGACATTTAAAAAGTACTTCAAAAAATCAGGAAAATTTTCCTTAGCATGGGTTTTTGATAGTGGCTACAAGCCTTACAGTTTCCAAAATGTTTATTCTCCCTAGTCTTGCTCTGCATTATTTCCATGGTTTTTGATTTTTTTTTTTTTTTAAACACAATTTTGGTTCCATACTTTAGAAAGAAAATTTTATTCCTTTAATAATAAATTAAATATTTTTAATCTTCAGCAAGACAACAAATTTAAAAAACACAAAGAGGGAGGGAGGAATCTTACGGATCATTTTTCCTCCAGTTTACTGTGCACGTTGCTCCAGTTGGATCAGGAGCGTAGCTAGCCCAGCCTACAGCAGGCATGGAGGCCCAAAAGACTGCATTTATCCAAGCAGCAATGATCAGAGTGGCATAGTTACGGGCAGTCATTCTCCTTCCTATAACCAAGCACACACAATTACAAACCAGTGTCATCTTCTGTTGAAGCATATTAATCCTTTCAGAGGACTACACTTCTGAACATTATAACATGCCCATTTCACACTTCTGATGATAAAAATCAAGTTTTCCAGCTCAAATGCACTTTACACCGTCACCTATCCCAACTCAAAGCATAATGACAAAACCTGATCCTAATCCCAGTACATTCAAGAATAAGTATCTTCATGTTTGCAGGAAAGGAAGGAATAAAAAAAAGAGGAGGAATGAAGTTATAGCACAGCTATAACAGGTAGGAATGAATAAAATCCAGTATGATGCTAGCACATTGGCTTGGCATCTGTCAGAAACATCCCACAGATGAAAGCTTCTGGTGTGCTTCTACAAAGAGGTGGGGTCTTCTATTAAGTTGGATATAGCAAATATAGTTTGGAAATGGATGGAGGAAAAAAAAAATAAGGCAGAACTGTAGTTCAAATCTGCAATTTTCACCTGCAAAAGCAGTACTATTCACATAACTAGATTGGGGCATGATCCTACAGTATTTGGTTAAGTGCATAATTTAAAAATATGTCCAGTACTTCAATTACATATTCTTAAGATGACAATACAGTTAGAATGATAGCTCACAGTGGACATACAGTGAATGTTTTGTGATCAAGTATACAGTACCTATATCAGGCCTGCAGATTGTCAGATAACGGTCAACTGCAACAACAGTAAGCAAACCAATGCTTGCCATTCCAAAAAAGATATTTAAGGCAGCATAGATCTGAAATTAAAAAAAAAAAAAAAGTCTTTGTGACAAATCTTTCAAAGGTATAAGCACAGGTTTGTGGACTAAATCTGAAGTACTGCAATATACTACATGTGGTACAATACACTCAATGTGGTCTGTGTTCTCTTCCATTAGCATGATACTGAATGAACTAATTGAGTGCAAGCAATTTGGAGCTAGCCAATTTCAAATTAAACATTTTAAAAGTGACTTGCTTGCATGTATATCAGAAACCCTAAGGAAGTGAAAAAAGTAAAGAAATGACATACTTCATGAAAAATCTGAGATTCACAGGTAGAAGGTTTGGAGTTTGTGCGCAAGGGATCATACTGCACGTGGGCTGAAATCCCAGCATGAGCCGAAACCATCTGCTCAGTTGTCCCCTAGACAACCTGACCAGGAATGGTGACGGGGAGGGCTATGCTGCCACTGGCACAACCACATACAGACCCTTGTGCCAGATCACATGCTACAAGTCGTAACAGAAACATGTGATATTATGCTGGCTCATTTCAAATAATTTACTTATTTTAGGTTGACCTGAGCTATGCTTCAAACGATCTTAACAGCTCCCAAAGCACTGCTAGTGAGATTTCACATTAACTTCAGCCCACAAAGGGAGAGTCACTCTAGATCAAAGGTTATTACATTCAGGCTTCCAGTGAAACAACAGCTTATTTTTTAGCTCAGCATAATTGTGCAATCAAGAAAGTGATGCCAGTTTGTTATAACCATCCATTATCATACACAGGACTAAAAATTTACGGTGTCACTCATTTCCCTTGAGTAATATTTACTTATTTTCCTGGTCTCAAGCTCTCCAGTCTGTTAAGAAGTAAAATTGTTTCCAAAACAGTTTTCATTTGAGGATTTCATACCTTAAAGCCATTTTAAAAACTCAAATTAATAAGTGTAAGGTTATATTTCAATATTTTCAGATTTTAAATGATAAATTTATGGTAAAATCCAACCCAAATCCTCTGTTCCAAAATGCTGACTTTAAAGAAAATTAGTTTCAGGTCTACAGCCAAATGTGGCACCTCCACCTCATCTGTAAAAAGAACAAAATATCAAATAGGACTACTATTATCTCTCGGTTTGCTTTTAAGTGCTTGAGATTTGCTTCCTAACTGAACTGAAATACCTGGCATCCAGTATATCCAAATTTCCAACTTCCATGTAGGTCTGAAGCAGCAGACATAGGGTAACCGATGCCACTGACACCAATGTCAGTAAAAGCCAAATTGATAATAATTGCGTTGGTTGCTGTTCGAAGCTCTTTGTACTTAACAAAGATGCCTAACACAACAATGTTACTGAAAATGCTTATCACTCCTGTAGGAACAGAGAGAAAAGGGAATTTAACAAAAGATGCAGGCAAGCCAACAATATGCATGCAAAACAAAGTACAGCCTACTGTAATATCAGAGTCCTGAACAAATTTAATTTTTCAATCAAATGCAATTCAATAAAGACAAAAGAAAGGGAGAAGTTCTGATACTAATTAGAGAACTCGCATTTGGATTTTGCAAAGGCTTAAGGTGTTAGTGGATTGCTTTGTTGATCTTGGTACTTCCTAAGTGATAGCAACATGAACAGCAAATATTCAGAAGAATTTAGGATTACAATTCAGAATTTCAGTCACTGAAATTTCTAGCACTTCTGTCTATGTGCCCAAAAAGAATGCAAGTCAGCGAGCTGATAAAAAGCAGGGTTACTGGACCATTACAGAGATTCACCAGGTCTAGCTAAAGCCCCTCTGCCACCACTTCATTTCCTCCTTTCTCTCAAGAGATTTTCCTGTGTAGTCAGGTAAAAGCAGTATTTATTCCTGGGTAAAAGGAATACTAGGAAAAAAATATAAATCATTATGCTTTGACCTTGCCTATGTCCATCCTAGACTACTGCTCTCTCTGTTCATGAGGGCCCAACTCCTTGCAAAGTTGGCTCATGTTGTTGTAAACTATTTTCTAAAGCACGAAGCCCTGTCAAGCCACCCAGCTCCATGGCTCCAAGCTCCATGGCTACTACACAGCTATGCTAAAAGTCCAGCTGTGTGCTGGACATGCACCTGCCTAAATAAGCTGTGTATTTTTAAGCTGCTCTGGGCTGGCTTGGTTTGCTATGTTGTTTTTCTCATCTTTGGCACACTTTACTATTTCTATCTTTTTAGAACTGGAACTCCTGACTTCACAGAAACTGCAGCCCAGAAACTTAAACACAAGAGTTTCTAAACCCGCTGTGTGGCAAGTGCTTTGACAATTAAACTATATGCAGTAGAGGCAGCACAAAGTGTGTGCAAACTGTTCCTTCCAAGTCGATTCTTAGGCAACACAAGAAATACCTACTAGCCCAAATAAAGAGATGCAATAAACAGTATTAAAACTAACACGTACATTCCCCTATCTTCGTATCCAACCTCTATGAAATTTGTTTGGGACTTAATAGCACTCTATGAGATACCCAGGACTCTCCTCTTTAGGATCCTTTTCACCAGCAAGCTTTTTTTAATCCTGATGACCTACATGAAAACCTCTACCTACTCCCCTTCTCAGGCTCTTACCCCTTCCTGAGCAAACCTTACTGCACTGCAGTTTGCATGGCACCCCCACAGGACAGCTTTCCTTTGTCCTGTTGTTTTTTTTTTTTTTTCCCCCCCTCTTCAGAGTCTGGTCCATTGCAGAAATATTTGGAGCAGAATCCCATCTCCCAGACTCCTATTAATAGCAGCAATAAGTCCCGCACTACAAATAAAAGTAATAAGAACCACTAAAAATAAACACTCCTCCCTTGCATCTCAGTTAAGTAGCCACAGCCTTTTTCAACAAAAGGCAGAATTTCAACACGTTCAAGAAAATATAGAAAATTACTTTAAAAGTAACTTGTAAATAATGACAGAAATTGGCAAAGTGGTCAAAGATTCCCTAGACCAGCAGAGTTGATACAATAATACTGTTTCAAAGCCTAAATAAAAACATCTGCCTAATTTGGGCATATGAAATTACGTTATCCACATAAACGCCTCCCCAAATTTTTCAGCTTTATAGTTAAAAAGCTTCAGCTATGAACTATACCTTTCAGCATCAAGACGTTAATCTGTGAAGAGCTTAAGCAAATGGCTGTCACCCCAAATGCAGTGTTAAAGATGTAAATGCTACCTCAGCGGCATTTATCTGAATCACTATGTTCATCAAGAACCACATGAAATAGATGTGAAAATGGGCAGAGAAGAGAAACCAATGCAATTGTAGTAACATATAAAAAACAAAGAAAATGCCTTGTCTATGCAATGCTGGCTATGATACCACTTTTTTAGCTGTTAAATGAAGTTCAATTTCAATTAGGTGCATTAGTACAGTTTCTATAATACCTATACCTCACCTGAGGAGTTTCACTTCAATGCTACTTTTATCAATACTGTTCTCCTATATTACAGAAGTACTAACAGACTGCGTAATCTTGAACCCAAATGAGGAAAACTCACTTTCAGTTGTATTGCATTTTCTTCTACCTGTGAACAGACACGCTTGGGAGTTTTCAAAGGACCTGCACAGCACATAGAAACTGCACTACAAAGAAAAAGGTGTTGGATGGTGGACAGCTCCATGAACACCAACTATGACATTGCACACATTTTAGGAGTGACATTGATGCTACGGATTGCTGCTAGAATTACAAGCTTATACAGTAGTGGAGCTCCCTATGATAACATTTTTAATAGGTATTATATATACCAGGAATGAAACCAGAAATTCAACAGGACTATAAACCCATAGTCTCAGGGCAAAGGAAGATCCTATTAACTCCACTAGAATTTTGTGCCTCAGAATCCAGTGTTCCACTAGAATTTTGTGCCTCAGAATCCGGTGTTTAAAAAAAAAAGAAAAAAAAGAAAAAAAGAAAGAAGCTGGAAAAAAGAAAAAAAAGAAAAAAAGAAAGAAGCCGGAAGAGAAATTGCTAAGCCTATATTCAGCAAAGATTTCAGGGCAACTAGAAAAAAAAAATCATGGTAGAGCCAAAAAGAGTTCCTGGGAGCACAGCATGATAAAGACAATAGATTCATTTTCAATAAAGTGAGGAAAAACATACAGCATCAGGGAGTTGAATCTCTTCCCTACTGTCTTCTCTACTTGTGAGAAGCAGGTCATGTAGTGGAACAAAGTTGTTGCTCCAGGAGCAAATAAGCAGTGTTCATTTATTAGAAAGTAGGGAGCGCGCAGAAAGAGAGTTTTAGCAACCTGATCATCAGCTAGGAAAAACTCATCTGATTCAGAAAAATCAGATGGATGCTGCTAATTGACCTGTGAAATATTTTATGGTTAGATAAGAATTCGCACTCTAAACTCAAGATAAAGACAAAATCCTCATGTATGCCCTGATCAAAACCAGGAGAATTTCTTATTTTTCATCTTCCCAGGGAAGCAAAATAAACTAAAGGAGTCCGAATGAAAACACAAGCCCTAATAAAGCAGAACACATTGATAGCAGCATCAAAACTATGGAGTACAAGTTAAATTTATTTATAATATGGAATTTACTATTCCAGGAAACATTTTGAAGATATTCCAGAGTATTTTGTTACAAGCTGAAGGCTATCAGCAAAGCAGCACTGCTTCCTGCAGTCTGAGTGCCCCTGTGGTCGTCACTAGAATGATACACTGATCACTACAGAGAGCAATGCTTTAACAATGCCTTCCTTCTCAGAAAACATCTCCATAGTTTCTCAGCAAATCTTCCAACTGGTATTAAGCCAGCGACACAAACTTCCCTAAAAACCTGAATTAACTCATTGGTTTTGCATTGAAAAATATCCCCTTTATGAGAAGATTTGATATGTACATTTTATTTAGAGAAGCTGTCTGAAGTGGTAAGTATCATCAATATTATCTACATGCCTTAAGCAGATGAATATTTGCTGGTATTTCAAAAGCTAGCTCTAGCACAGAAAATGTGCCCTAAGTGAAGATATTGGCTATCAATAAAGTATCTATAAATGGATTTTAATTTTGAAAAGGTATAGAAGGCTCATTTTTAAACGCAGCAGCTTATAGTTTTTATTTCAAGATATTTCACTGGTAACAAACAATGCTTCAAACACAAAACAAGGAATTCCAAAGTAGCTGCAGTTTTCACAATGAGAAAGTTTTCAGGAAAACATTATTCCATAACGATGCCAGCCTTAGCCGGAGGCCATTACAGTGGAAGCGAACACATGATGTCAAGCCTTCCAGCGTGCTTTTTCTAACGTATGTCATCAGTGAAAAATACAACTGCAACTGGAGTCTGCTCTTCTCTCTGACTAACGACCAGCTACCTCTAAGGCTCATTCCAAGCCTTCCCCTTACATCCCCCTAGCAGACACCCTCTCACATGCTCAGACTACACATATATTATTATGAACATGTGGTCCAAGAGAAATCTCAAGATAGCTTCAAGCACATCACAGAAAAATGCAAGCTGTGACAGCTATGTCCTATTTTTACCTCTTTTGCAAGCTGGCAGAAATTAATTCTCACTCTCTTCTATAATTACATATCGACAAAATACGTTTTTCAACATACCACACTGCTTTCAACTACACAGCAAAAAATATAATGTTTCTGCACACTTCAGTCTGTTGATTTGTGAATTGCCAGTAAACTACCAGGAAAAGCCATTAGATATTTGCGTAATACAAAATGAAATACCATTGTTATCATACAAAACAATCATTCAAATACACAATTCTGTTTAAGAGAAGAAATGCATCAACTCACTAATGCCCATACCTGCTGTTATTAAGTAAGCTGCAACTATGTTGTGCTCAGTCTGTGTAAAGGCTGAATGAGCTTCATTGTCTCCCTCAGAAGAGTTGGCTGAACCATTCCGAAGCATGCTGGACAAAAAAGACTGTGCTCTAGCCTCCATGGTAATTCATCAAGCAGACAAAACACTATCGAATTGTCAGACAAATTCTTTCAAAATAGAAAAAAACAAAACAAAGAGGGGGGGGGGGGGGGGGGGGGGACACCGGTTTCTACAGCCGTTCTCCAAGATTTAATTGGACTAAATTGCAAAGAAGTTTACACTCCCAATCTATGCAGGAGGAAAGCCTGTTAATTAAAACAAAGAGCCGCACAGAACAGAGTACATTTTCAACTGGATGCTTAAACTTCATTCTTACTGTTAAAGAGATTAACTATCACATGCTCCCAAACTTTTTATTTCAAAGCTCTTGTGCAATATTTTCAGCAAAAATTGGCTCAAGTCAGTTGGTCACCAGCCTGGTTTGGAATTAATTCTAATCATCGCAGAGAACACAACCACAGGACAACATAGAAACAAGCAAACAAAAAAAAATCTCTAAAAAGCAGGACATGCTTTTTAGCCTGCAAAATCCATCTCTTCAAATCTTAAGAGGCCTACTTCTTTTTACAACTCTTCAAGATTAGCAGACAAGATCAAACACAGTCCGATATTTTCTGAGGTGAAGTGTAACTATTGAAAAACCCAAACATATTTTTAAAACTATCTGGCTGCAAAAAACAGGCTATTGAACATGTCTCACAAGTCTGAATTTCTTCCTCTCCAAAACACACATAGGTAAGCTCACATTGGAAAACTTCATCTAAGCATTTTACTGGACAGCAAATTACTAAGTTATGTTCCAAAGCCCCAAACAGTAGTTTGTTTTGTTCTCAACGATGATATGGCAGCACACTGCCACAGCCCAGAGCTAGACTGAAAAAGCTTTTTGCAAAAGCTGGTATAAATATTAGCTGCAATACATCATCACCCAAAGACCCATGCAGGCAGAGTTAGGGTAAGTAATTGAAGATGTATACGACCAGCTCCCCTTTATAGAGTTGTCTGTCTCCGGCTTTGTGCTTATAGAGAGTACCTAAGTGACAGGAAAGAGCAATTTGTGGTTATTCAGCTGTATGTAGCTCCCAGGCTACGGCTGAGCCTTGGGAGCAGCAGTGAGGTTTTAGTGACACCAGGAGTTTGAAAGCAATACAGACATTCGATAAAAAGGGGCTACACCTGTAGAGATACTCCTATTTCCACCCATGAAACACCCCTAAAGTTTCTCATCATCCTTCTTATTCCTCATCATTTCAAGACAGTCATGTTTTATTTTTCATCCATTTGAATCTGAAGGTATGAACATTTTGATACATCACTTAGTCAGGCCACTTAGTCATCACTGTGACAAAAGATCATGTGTCTCAGTTCTACCAGCAAATATATTTCTTTTTAACCCTACAGTATCTACATTCACTCTTATGGTTCTCAGGGTACTCAACATCTCCTGTCAGAAATGATTAGGCAGGAATGAGGCAGGAGGTTTCTGAAAGGAAAGAGGATCTATTTGACAACGAAGCCACTTCCCTAGTCCTGCCTTGAAAGATAAAAGCTTAATGATGATTTGATTACTCTGCTTTCCTCCTCTGAAACTCTGTTAAGATCAACCTCAAACCTTGCAACTTCTATAGAAATTGGAGCTTGCAATGTATGAAGCAAGCATTATATGCTCATAAAAGCAAAGAATTTCTGGTTTTATTTGAATAGGATGCCAAATTTGGGGTTAGCATGGTTAATGAGACCATATAGCTTTCATACATGTCAGTTAAAACATAGTTCCCAGTATGTATAGTCTATTCTATGAACCATTATACTGTTTCCATCTCCTCTTGTCTTGAATTTGGCTAATTCTAAAGTGATAGAAATTGAGACAAAAAGTCAAAATTAAAGATATAAACAACTTATCACAAACATGTCAGTAAAGTGTTTTCTAGAACTCTGGAGTTCATAAAAAAGACAGAATAATGAAATCAATATTAAAATTTACAAGCAACCCACAAAGCTGGAAATGCAGTTCCCAAGCCAGGCAAAGTATGACTTACTTCATATTCCTTTCTAGTACTGGCATATAGAAAATTAGAAACTTAAGTTCTTTTTATTCTCCCATAAGAGCCAGTACTACTCAGGTCAGAGGCAGGTTTTGTGATTTCAACTGATGGAGCTCTTCTTTTCCACCTGGGTCTGGTCGGTAGCAACAAAAGCCAATTTCTACTTAAGTCCATTCTTCTTTTCACAGCTATTTGTATAGATACGAGGCAATGCACAACTTATAACTGCAATGTTTGAAACCCATTAAAAGTTGTTATATGTATTTAAGAGTGTATTTCAATCCACAAGTGTAGACACACTTACTGTCTTGAAAAAAAAAATACACCAAAAACTTTTTACTATTTTCTAAAAGCCTCCCTGTACATTAAACATATCAGCACTAGATGGCTGTATTTAGCAGCACTTTTCTTTCATCTTATTTCCACAATAGATGAAAATGGTTCCAAACAAAGGAAAAAAAATATATTTAATAGTTCTCCTTTCACAAGTCTCTAAATTTAGACTACTAGTTATTCTGACTCTGTAAACTAAGGAGCCTTTCAGCTAACTGAAAAAAAAAATGTAAGGGGACTCAAAAAGCTTTTCACTTGTTACTCTTCTTATTCATACCATAACCAGGCCTTCTCGAAGGTAACATCATCTACCGCTACCACGTTTGCACAATTGCCAGTAACTCTGCACCAGTGTATGTGTGCCCATCCACTATCCCCTGTTTTGAAATACATGAGTAAAACTGCGCTAAGACTCAGCTAACAGTCTAACTTCAGCTGACAAGTGGAGAACGAGACAGTAAGGTGACAACACTGCTCTCATGTCCAAGGCAGAGAAATAAAACATGCTGGAGTGCAATGAAGCTTACCTGCTCCTGAGCTTCAAAGTAGCATCACAGAGTAACAGAAAAGTTCAGGATAGAAGAAAATCTTCTCTCTAAAGTGGGAGAACCTGTATTTTAGCCCACGGTAACACTACACAGTGGACAAGTCAGAGTTGTCTTTTTAAATTTTACAAGATGCTGCATTTGTGTGTCTCCTATTACACTTGGCAACTACTAACATTAAGAGGGCAAGGTCAGGTCACAATGCAGAAAAGGCAGCACAAAACAAGTCCAGATAGATCATACCACAATAAAACACCTATCCTTATCCAGCACCTTGTGTGGAGGGCGGGGGGGAGGACAGACATCACCACAAGGCAGATACCAACATACTTGTCTGTACACCACTTCCTCAAATGGCAGCTCATTTCAGGCCTAGTGACTGAGGACTTTCTTTTATCTGCATCTGAATGTCCCTTTACCTCCACAAGGACCCAAGATAACAAACCACCTCTAGGTATCTGCTGTTCTCATCCAATATCACCTGTAAGTGTTAAGGTGCCTCATTTGTTTCTCAGCTGGGACTGGGCAGCCAGATAATACAGTCCGTTTTACTATTATCAGAGACAGTTCGTCCCCCTACAGCTACAATGGGCAAGATAGTTCTTTTACCTCCTTGCAAAAGAGATGTGAATGTCTTTGCTTTGACCTTGCAAGGGCTCCAGACTTAACTATGACTCACAGCTCCACCTGCTGAGAGACTGATAGCATAGATTTCTTGTCCCAGCCTGAAAACTGCTACATAGAAGTGAATACTCATAGCTCTCAGGCCAGGCAATTGAAAGACCTTATTGGTGCAGTCTTACCTTATCAACAGCGGAAGGTGCAGCAACTACTAGTATGACAGGGCATAGGCAGACCTTCACTGCAGCTTGATATTGTTTGACTGCAATTTAGTGTGCAATTTAGTGTGTCAGAGGTGGCTTACAAAGATACAACGGCTTGCATAAGATTTTGTCTAGATTAAGTCATAGTCCTAAATCATTTAGGCCTAGCAATGCATAGCAGCAAATAATCTAAACATCTTTAACAATCTGGATTTAGCTGACCTGAATAAAGCTCAGTTTGAAACAATACCAGGTAAAGAACTTGTATCCATTGATTCCTGATTTTGCTGTGGTTAAAAGTAGACTTATTTCTTCTCATAAAAGCAGACCTAGGAAAAATTTCCATGTTTTCTTTGTAAGAGAAGAGTTATCCTAAATAGTATCTGTTTAGGTTTTGTATTTGAATTCTTGAGTAGTTTCTCCAGTTTGCTTCAAGTTTTGTTCCAAGGATTATGCACAATGAGCAATAAAGTTTGTTAAACTGACAAGTAACTGCCCAATTTCAGAATTTCAGCATGGACAGCAAATTCACTTTTGTCAAATTTTCTTCTTTCTGTTAAGTAGAAGGCTAACATAACTAATTTTCACTGAGCTTACAAGTTTAAAAAAAAAAAAAAAGGCAACAGCATGCTCAGAACAGCATTTTCAGAACTTCTGAAAAAGATGCTCAAAACACTTTCACTTAGATTATTTTGCAGATCTTTTCAAAAATGCATAAGACTGTACCGATGGACTCCCCGCTTGAGATACAAGCTGGAGGGAAAAGATTTGTTTTTTTGCATTGTCTCTTCTCTTTCCAGAGCTAACGAGTAGAGGCAACCTGTCATTCTCCATCCTCAAAGACAGACAGTTACTAGCTTTTCAACACTCCTTGTAATAAACAACAGAGGACAACAGAGTCTATGTTGAAGACTCATGGAGGCTTTATGTCTTCAGGGAGTATTTAACATCATGTGTGCAGAAGACCTAACTGTAGCAAGATATCTGATCTTAGACGTGGGCAAGCTTGGTGCACTTCAGTGGCCTTTTCAGGACATTAAATCCGCAGAGAAACAGGGTAAGCTGGGAAAAACCCAGAACAATTTCAATATTAGTGTAATTGGACACAACTACTTAGGTGACTCAGGATTAAACATGAAATTATTAACAGACAGCAGCTTCTAAGAAGAATATGTCATAATGCATTTCTTTTCATTCAGATTTATACAGAAGAATCCGTAAAGTCCCTATGCTACTGTCTTTTCCTTGCATACATTAGATATAAAAATAAAGTTCTATCAACACAAAATCTTGAAGTTTAGTTTGTAGAAAAATGTTCAAAGATTGTTTAAATGGCATGTCCACTGCACAGCAATCTAGTGGATTAAATA